CTCTCAGTTTAAAAAAGGTTGGTGACCCATGAACTAGAGCCAGAATCCCAGATTGTTCAGGATTTCCAGGATTCCCCAGGTCCTAAACCAGCTCTGTTTCTGAGTATGTCATGTCAGGTACACTCCTCCACCTCTGCCTCCACCACCACCCTCTGTGTCCTTGCAGAGTAATTAACAATTGACATAGAGGTAAAAGCAGTCGTGTAGAAATGTTGACATGAATAAGATGGAAGTGTCTCCTCCACATACTTCAACAACGCTGTTTGTCAGTGTGTCTGATTCTTCCTCTTCTTCTTCCTCTTCTTCTTCTCCAAATTACATCAGTCAGGCAGGATGCAGCCGTGGGTTGAAAACATACAGTGGCGTGGACGCACGTGGCCGTGTGATTAGACTACATCACGGTGAGAGCAAACACAGGAGAACATGTGTCAGCAGCAGCAGCAGCAGCTTCAGCTTCAGCAGCAGCAGCTTCAGCAACAGCAGCAGCAGCAGCAGCAGTAACAGCAGTAACAGCAGCAGCAGCAGCAGCTTCAGCTTCAGCAGCAGCAGCTTCAGCAGCAGCAGCAGCCGCAGCAGCAGCTTCAGCAGCAGCAGCAGCATCAGCAGCAGCAGCAGCAGCATCAGCAGCAGCAGCAGCAGCAGTAACAGCAGTAACAGCAGCAGCAGCAGCAGCTTCAGCTTCAGCAGCAGCAGCTTCAGCTTCAGCAGCAGCAGCTTCAGCAGCAGCAGCAGCAGCAGTAACAGCAGTAACAGCAGCAGCAGCAGGAGGAGGAGGTTTGCTCCACTGTTTGTTTATGTTCTATGCTCTAGTGCAGAGACGGAGCTTATCTTAATGGGAGTGCGTTGCTGGAAGAGACAGCTATCAGTGCAACAGAAACCAGACGTGAACTCTCACACACACACACACGGACACTCATCCCGCTCCATCCTCACACTGGGGTGACCAGTTATTTTACAGTATTACTGTCAGGCCTTTTCACAATCCAGGAAGTCAGTGCTGGTGACCGGAGGGGAAATCTAACACAAATATCTCTTAGTCTCCACCTGGTGATAAAGATTCTCCTCTATTCCAGGAACTTCATCTGACAGTCGAGGCTTTTTTCTTGATTGCCCAACAGAGGGCAGTCTATTCTGCTTAACGCTTTGGCTAATTAAAAAAAAAAAAAACAGCAGTGCGGGCTGTCATTTTGCTGTTAGCAAACAAGTCAAACAGTCTTACAGGGTGGTCAAAGAAAACATTAAGCCACTGGAACATCCAGGCCCCACTGGTGCTCAAATGTAATTGTGCTGTTAGCAAGCAGGCTAACAGTCTTCCTGTGTAAACACAGAAAACCAGGTGTTTGAGATCATTTTATGTGATGAATATTGGGTTGATCTTGGGATCACCACGTTAGACTTAAGACCGGATTGAACCAGATTCCCATACAAGTACGGCTACTGCAGAAAAAAAAAACCCAGACAAACCTGTGTAAAAAATACAACTCCTTCAGTTTAGGATTCATAATTAGAAGCCAGTGTGGAAAATTCAAAGGGTAAAAATAAACCCGTCTTTTTCTGTCTTTACTACGGGACAGATGCAACACCTCTTTTTTCACGACATCAAGGAGACTGTAATGATTCTGCTGAGTTGTCATAACAAGGTGAGGTGACTCAGGAGAAGCCAGACGGCAACAGAACAACAAAAGCAGCGCGGCCTCCTCCTGAGCTCACACTCCTTCTCTGATCTCTGACACACAGAGTAAAAATAACCCCTGGAGCTGGAGACAGCACTGTTGGAGCAGCAGGCTGCAGGGATCAGACGGACGACAAATAGCACAAGGAGGTGTGTGTGAGTGTGAGTGTGAGTGTGAGTGAGTCTAAGGTGCCTCAGATTCAGCATTTATGTTGCTGGAAAATCTGAGGTCCTTTTCATGATCATTGCACACACACACACACACACACACACACACACACACACTTGAAGAAGTGGGACCACATGGCTTTGTTTGGGGTTCCTTGGTCACTTTAGCCCACTGGAGTGGACTGCTTAGCAACAAGCAAAGAGATGATCACAGGCACACACACACACACTGACCACAGCGTAGGAGCCACCAGGGTTATGGTGCCCTCAGGTAGGGCTAATGACACAGGGAGCAACTGGTGCAACAGATGGTCTCCACTAAGTCATATGAGGGCTTCTGTGAGCAAGTACCAGGACTATGACTGCACTCTATTGACTTATTCACACCACTGGACACATTCACACACACACGTTCACTCCTGGGGCCCTCCACGCTCTCATATCTCTCATCTAGTCTCTGGGGGAGAGAGAGAGAGGAGGGAGGGAGGGAGGGGAGAGACGGGGTGGAAACAGAAATAATCTGAGAGTGAATATTGAGCAGAGGGGAGACGTGTGTTTATGGATGGACCGTGTCCGTAAGTGAGCTCAGAGACGTCAATCTCTGTGTCTGCCTGAAATTTGAGGTCAGATGGACTCACCTCCATCTGACCTCAGTGGAGCAGTGCTGTATTCACTGTGGACACGCCGTGTCTGCTCCCAGTTTCTGTCAAGTGCACTCAAAGGTCTACAGATGTCCTCGCTACGACTTCCCAGGAATCAAGAGACAAACCAAACCTGGAAAAACTACAGTCACACTTGGGGTTTGGATTCAAAGGAGGAATGAGCCATGTCACGTATGTCAATGACACTTGTACATCTCTCTTGGCCTACCATGTCAAACTGGTCACTTAGTTAAAAACTAATACTACTCATAAGGCCAGCCCCCCATGGTGAGAACGCCCACAGTAGAATATACTGTCTAGATCAGGGGTGTCCACACTTTTTTGGCTTGGGAGCTACTTTTCAAATGACTGGGGTTTTTGTTTCTTTAAATATAATTGCTCAGGATCTACCAGCACTGCCTTTGAGATCTACTGGTAGACCCTGATCTACCTATTGGGCACCCCTGGTCTAAATAAAATAAGAAATCTAAACTAAAGAATCAAGTCAATTCAAAAGGACATCGTTGTCCTTTGGTGTCAATAATAAAACGCACGGTTCAAATGTCAAACAAAGTCAGTCAACTGACAAATGGACAATCATTAGTGGTTGAGATGATGGCAACCACAATAAACTCTGCATTCACTCTGAGCAGACTGTGAACATTTGGCTAATGTGCGGAACAGGTCTGACCCCTGGTGGGGGAAAAAAGACATCACAGCTTGTACCAGTGCCATCAGAATCGCTTTGAGTGTACTTTTAAAGTTCACTGAAAGAGATTTAAAAATTATTGAAAAATTGAATAAAATCAATTAATTTTCATTTATGTGTCTCTAGATCACCTTTGTTTGTTTGTTTGTTGTTTTTCTTCAAATCTAGGTATTGTATTTGGAGGTAGATTTTGACTAAATGAACTCTCCTTTCTTAAATAAATCTATCTCGGTTAAAGTTTTTCATTAGACAACAATATACATAGATGACGCCACAAAGAAGGGTGAACAGAGCCACAATCGGTGCCCAGGCCACACTTTGAACACAGTCCAGCATAAGAGCTAGACTGAGGTGGAGTCCCAGTGTCAAGTCATGGTGTGTTCTCACGTGTCTTTTTCTACAACATTCATGTGATGTTGACCTGCTCCGTGTCACTGTGCCTCACTGTGACTCCTCCTACTTCCTCATTTCCTTTCCTTCCAGACTGTTCTACTGTGCTGCTGCAGTGTGTCACAGCGTCAGGTCGTTCTGTCTGTCTGTCTGTCTGTCCATCTGATAACATCTCCCTCCTGGCTGATGATAAACAAAGGCACTCAGGTTGAAACGTCCTGCTCACTGTCCCTCGCCCCCACACTGTTACACATCATTCCTCCAGGTTAATCCGGCCTCTTGATGGTTCCATACATCAATATGGAAACTTGAGGTTTGAGATACATTCACAAGTATTCTCTAAAACTTACACTGACAGACTTCAAAAACTTCATATATAAGAGTGAATGACATAATCAGTTGTCAGGGCCGAGGAACAAAACGAATTTGGCTCTGTTTTATACTCTTAAAAAATGATTCTGCTGAAATAGAAAAGTACACCCACTGTTCTTTTTAAATCCTTTTGGTCTCACACACACACGTCTGAAGTATTATCTTACCAACTCGACCACTTCTGTTACATTCTAAAAAAGACAAGATTGTTTTAAAAAGGTCACAGAACATTTTCTGCGGGAACACAGTGTTTCTAGAAGCCATCAAGGTTGTAATAGTTTATATTTTTCTGCAGTATTTATTAGTCACGGTGCGTGAGGGAGCTGCCAATAGAACAACAGGGGGCCGGGGACAGAGCCATGGGGAACGATGACACCACAGAGAGGCAGAAAACGTGAACCAGGCTTATAACCACACACACAGTGCCGTGTGTGTGTGTGTGTGTGTGTGTGGTTATAACTGAGGGGACATTCCGTCCCTGTGGGTTCACTGCAGTCACAGTTTATCAATGCCACAAATAACTGCCTTGTGTGTGAAACGCTGAGTAATGTTAAATGGATACACACAGGAGAAAACAACACCAGAGGTCAGAAAAAAAAACATTTAAACTGAAAGGTAAATAAATTATGTTACAACGTATTAAAGAGCAGCAATAAACACACAACAGATGGTCTACAGCAGCAGGAGAGAACACTAGGTGGCGCTCTTGTGACAAACAAACTATACATAGATAGAAAACAAAACAGTCTTAGTGAAGGATTCACTGATTTAACTAGGTCTAAATGGTCTCCATGGTAACCAGAGCTGACTGACAGAGGATATTTGACATGATGACAAATCCTTACAGCCTCCCATTGTTGACGCACACTGGCCACAAGATGGAGCTGCACATCCACGTCGAAGCAACACAGAGCCCACGAAGTCATTTTAGATTCGATTTCGTTTAATTGATTACTTCAAGTTAATACAATACAAATCATTTGAGCTGAGGTACAGTTGACAGAGTTAACACTGAATGAACAACACGCGGTTATTTCTAGTTTATTCGTTTCTATTCAAAGGTTCTTTTTTTTCTCTTCAGTTTTTTTTTCTTCCAACACTGGCAGAACAAGCATTTACTCTGTGGTAGAATCTGTGAAGAAAACATGATTCATTTATAAATGAATTATCCAACTTTTTTTTTTTTTTACAATGGAAAAGCCATAGCTTTTTAACCCACCACAATGTTCCCAGTAACATCCCCCATTGTTCCAGTGGGAAAGTGGTGCAAAACTTAGAACAACATTATTTCATTGACAGTTCCAACAGGAAATGACTGAAAAGACAAGAAGAAAAATACTCAAGTAAACTTAAAATTGATCTTTGAAAAAAGTCGGATTTTAAGTTATATTATATTTGTATTTACAGGAACAAAAGTCAATACAATGTATTTTGCGACACAACAGCAGAGACATCATTATAGAAGAATCAAATCTAAACGTCATCCTTTTTACAATTCACCAGAATTTGGAATCACACCTCACCTGTGAGAAAGAGTTTGGTGAGCGTCCATGATGTTTGAAGGGAATGGAGATGTCGAAATGACAGGAGACTTTTTTAAAAACGAGAACGACCAAGACGGATGTGATGAAAGACGAGGAGAGGAGAGCAGCAGCTGAAACAAAACTTCTAGAGATGATGAAGATGATGTGTGGAGCGACCACAGATGTTTGGAGCTGAGCCCTTTGGGCAAAGAGGAGGAAGAGGAGGAGGGGGAGAAGAGGAAGAAGAGGAGACAGTAGACGAGGTTCGAGGATGGGACTGAGAGAGAGATGAGCAGCTGTTGTGGCCCCTGAAGGCAGCACCAAACTAAAAAGGTAGAATAATGTTGATGAAAATCATCTCAGTGACATCCAGACAAAGCTGGTTCGTTGAGATTGATTTTTAAGCAAAGAACATTCTACGAAACATTTGTCTAAATTCAGAAATAAGACGTCTCTGTCCAACGTAACAGGAACAGTTCAAATGTGAGCAGTGACTCAACAGCGATCTGACCAACTGACTCTGACAGGTTGGTTGGTTTTCTAAATTCACCGGTCATAGGCAAAATCACACCAGTGACGCCTTCACTGTCTAGGGAAAAGGCCAGAGAACAAGTGCAGTGACAGGTTCATCTGCATTAGCCTGCATAAACCTGTCCAACAGTAATGACCATAAAAGGATCATTAGCTTCTTGACACAGGTCCTTGTACTATATGAGGGCACAGCCTGATTGAGCTCAATGAAAAGCAAATGTCTGAATAAGAATACAAAGTACAAAGCAGTGATGACTTTACTGTCCTAGGAAAAAAGTAGCAAGTTTCAGCAAATATTCTGCAACACATATCTCAGAAAAACACAGCTATGGGAAGATCCTAGTAGGATTTTCTAATATTTGTTAGCACACCCAAAAAAGAGCAATATAATAATCATCATCATCATCATCATCATCATCATCATCATCATCATCATGCAAATTTGGCTTAAATTTGTCAGGAAAACAGCTGCAACAACAGCAATAGACCGAAATTACACAAAAATCAAGGGTACATATTTTGGCATCATAAAAAAAGATTAAAGTGATTAAGGATTGCATAAGGTAGAGGGCGCTAATGGTTAGTAATATGACAATACCTTAGGAAATGAATCAAATATGTGACTTTTTCCACTGAATCAACTCTTTGTTCTTGAAGTTATAAATAGATATCCGTGTGTGTGTGTGTGTTGCTGTATATAAAGTACATGCATGTGTATTTGCAGGCATGTACATGTAGATATTATATTACATTCACAGTTGCAGAGGGAGGGTGGGTCAGAGAGAACTGTATCAACACTGAAACATCACGTCTGAATTATTACACAGAGAACCTGTTCAGTCCCTCTGTCTCTCTCTCTCTCACGTACACACACACACACACACATACGCACGCACAAACACACACAGACCCAGGCGATGGTCTACGAGCGGCAGCAGCCCACGGCCCTCATCTCTTTGTCCACGTACTGCTGCAGCTCAAACTTTGGCTGATCCGGTTCCTTCATGGTCCTGTGCTTCAGTTCTCTGAGAACACACACACACACACACACACAAAGAAAGAGGATGTGCATGTGCTGCACCTCAGAGACACAGTGACAACACACACTTTTCGAAAAACAACTTTAACATAACACCACACACACACACACACACACAGCCACATAAAACACTCAGGTTTCCTGTGGTCTGATGGTCCCTGAAGTACACGTCAGTGACATTATTACACATTCTCCTGTGGCTTTGAGACAAATGAGGCCGACAACATGATGCAGTGCAGGACATGAACACAGAGGCACAGATCAAAAGTGATGAAGACAGATGAAAGACTGTTCTTAGTGTCAGTTCTATTCTTGGCAGCAGTCCACCAGCATGTTACCATAACTATCACAGGCTGTCTTTAAATGTGAACCAGCTCCCACACAGCCGTGGTCCAACAGCAGGCTCGTCATTAGCACATTACACAGAGACAAAAACCCCGACCTCAGGTGGTCCCCTTCTAATGAGCTGCAGGAAACAGACTGCTGTCAAAAAGACAGCTTTGTCCTCAGACTGGAGGTTTTAGCTCCAGTCCTTTGTGTACGTCTTTTGTACGTCTGACCTCCACCTGTTGTTTACTCAATGTCAACGCTCAGGTCAGTTTAAACTGGCACTAAGTCAAAGGCAGGGCCACCACATCCACAGACTAACAACCATCTCACAGAACTCACCTGGTGCTAATTAGAGACATTACGACTTCTGCAGAAACTACACAGAAAAGACTGAATGAACCTTTTAGCTACATGAAGCTAAAAGGTTCTCTAATGACGTGTGTTTGTGAGTGTGAGGGGTAGCTACGAAAGTTTTACAGTCGTCTTTCACCTTTGTACAGTTTGCAAGGTTCAACTTCAGACGTACGTGGCGCACCCTATGGTTTGAGGACCTCTGAGTGGTCACAGAACCGTACCATTTACACCTGGGAGGTATTTATAACAACTGACTCAGAGATTGGTCTTCAATTTGACTTAGTCAGTAAAAATGAAGTATGTAATCTCAGTGTGTAATCCTATACCACTGGAATATTACAGTAGTACTATAATACTATCTACTTCACCCATCAGTACTTGGACACTGAACTTTCTCCTGCGGTGATTCTACATGTGTGTGACTCACTTGGCCACAGCGGTGAAGGCCAGCTCCACGTTCAGTCCAGATTTAGCGCTCGTCTCCATGAAGGGCACTCCAAACTCCTGGACACACAAAGACGGGGACACATTTGTCATTTCCTGAAGAGTTTTGTGTTAGAACTGTTGAATCACGAGAGATGAGGTACAAAAGAGTTCCAATGAATATCCAACAATAATCCTGACTTATGGGTTTCTGACTAGGAGAGACTAGTTGTCCCTCACACTGACGCCCGCCTATGTCAACAGACAACACCTCCCATGGACATGTGTGTGTGAGTGTGTGTGTGTGTGTGTTGCCTCCACAGCTGCGGCTCATATTTATTCCAACACGCCTCTCGGAGCTTATCAGGGCGAAACCACCTGGTAAATGAAGTTAGCGCTTCCTCACAGCCACTCCTCCGACTCATTTATTACCAACAATACTGACAATATGTGTCCATGAAAAGGTAATCACACACTAATCAAGACATGGGGGGGAGGGGGGTGGAGCAGCAGACAGATTGGCTACAGCAGGTTATTTATCCTTATTATATATGTGTGTGTGTGTGTGTGTGTGTGTGTGTGTGTGTGTGTGTGTTCTCACCTTGGCCAGTTTCTCTCCTTCCTCTCGTTTAACCACCCTATCATGTGTGGAGTCGGCCTTCAACACAAGGAACACAAACACTATTGAATTAAAATTGCATTATTCAAACAAATTCCCAGTGATGATCATTTCTTTTCATTAATTTTCTTTCAATAAAAACAAACGTTTAATTCAAAGTATTTTCTATTTCTAAGGCACTAATCAGCATCAACAGAACCTGGTTTCTCAGGAGACACCACCTTGTCAAAAACACATGATGGATACTTCATTAAATATTTATTTATTTTATTTTTTTAGTTTTCTGAAAAATTAAACTCTGTTTCAGAAGGTTTGTATTGTATTTTTCGGAAGTCTCACCAGTGCCCTCACACCTGAGTATGAGTCACACCCCAGCCAAGGATGAAAAAAAGTGCAACTTAAAGTCCGGAAAATAGGGTATGCAGTTTTCCCAGACAAAACACGACAGGATTAAGAACATGGGAAAACATTTTTTTAATGTTTTTAACAGTCATGTTGTGGAAGAGACAAAACAAAAAACTCCACAGATGGTGGAAATATTTGTCAATTCCAGTGAAGTTAGAGGAGAAATTACTCCAACAAAATCTGTTCTTCTGTTGAAACCCAAATTATGCTATAACGCTGAATACCGTCCAGATTGTGGACTGGAAGTCATAATATAGTTTAACGGGACAACGCAGCCCATAGGATGTAGGGAACGTTCCTCAGCAGCTGCTGCTGGACTATTCCACGCTCTTTCGATGGTGTGTTTTCTTGAGTGGGAACCAAAAACAGATGGAGTCCATATGGTTGGTCTGCTGACCTTAAATTTGAACATCGGTACCGACATTTCAAAGATTCCCTGGAGGTGTATGAGCTCATGAGAAAAAACTTTGAGATTTGATTATTGTCCCCCCAAAAACTATTTAGTTCCTGTTGTAACACCCTGAACTTAAGGACATGGACTTGTGGACTTGTGGGACAGACTGAGAAGACATTTTGCCTTTTAAGGACATGGACTTGTGGCATGGGACAGACTGAGAAGACATTTTGCCTCCAACCTAATTGAGTTGAAGTTAAAGAAACGCTAAAGAGCGCTGCAACACGAAAAGCCACAAAAACTAATTATTCTCAAAGACGTCTGATTGTAAAAAGAAAAACGTGTAGATCGACGTCTGAGACAAGCTAATGGCTGCTATAAAACCAACATGGCTGAAGTGATAACTAGCAATAATCTAAAAATAGGTCAACTCTAGAAGCTAACCACAACGTATACCAGTAATGATCCGTTTGGTAGAAATCATTTTTCTGTCCATACTTTTCTTGGTCCAATTGTCCAACCAGTTGTCTCACCTTGTTGCCGAGCAGCATGACGACCACGTTCTGTTGAGCATACTCGTGGATCTCTGTCAACCAGGCCTGGAGAGAAACAGAAGGTGTGTAGGAGGAGGGAGAAAGGGGGTCATGATAAACAGGAGTGAGGAGCAGATAAGGAGAGGTGACAGGAGAGACGGATGATCCAGACAAAAGGACAGAGGAAGTGAGAGGGAGGGAGATAAAGATGGAAAGATCAATTTATTGGACACATTGGCTGCAGTTCTCCTCCTCCTCCTCCTGCAGCTCCTTCAGCTGATCCTCTCCTTCACCCTCCTACACCTACTATTCCTTCATCTCACTTCAATTACAGGTCACAAGCCTCTTGGCTCTGTGTTTCCTGACTTGGTTAAAGAGAATTTCTGAAAGCCCC